ATGTTCCTTGCATTTTGGTATCAGAGCTGGTTCGATTCGCCACTTACCTTGGTGCACTGGCGTTATACAGACTTGGTGCGTTGACAATGCTTCTTCGCAGTTGGTTCTTGTGACGTCAGGCCATATTAGGCGCACGACCTGGGTAGAGAGCTGTGCGCCGGAAGGCTATACGGCATGGGAGGCCGTGGTTACAGCGGAATGTATGATTGGTGATGAGAGCATGCTGATGTGGCATTTAGCTGAGGTGGCACTGCATTGCGTTGTGGGTGGTACTGAGGCTAAGACCGGTCATCAAATGCACACTCAGCTCAATTGGTGAGAAATGTGTGGTTGGGGGCAGCTATCTCCAGGTACGTTGTTCCCTTACCTTATCTACCCTCTCAATCTCTTCTTACCGCGAGGAAGTGAGTCCAACTTGAGAGTCCTCTCTTTTGGTGAGGTGTCGTGTGTGCGCTACCTTGAGAGACGACAATCTTCCCGGAAGCATATGGAAGGAGAAAGGGCGGTGCCTCTGAAGGGCCCTGGTCGAAGCACTTGGGTCACGGTCACCATACCAACTAAATGGGAGTAGGTCACACATGCGATGGCTGCTTGTCCATTTTGGCACTTTGCTGCGCTATAGAAGTCGTGCCGGGTGTGCCAGCCCATAAGAGACGCTTACCAGACCGTCTATAAATACTTCTGGTTGGGGACTCGGTATTGATACTGGCTGTGATCGTCGTCCTGTCTGCGACGTTAAATAATTCCTAAGGAGATGGGGGCTCTCCTTAAATCCCTCCTGATCAGCCAGATCAAACCGGGTAGTAAGGCTCGTTCCGTACGAGGGTAAATAAGAGTGGATGGGCTGGCTTGCTCGGCAATGACTTGGGGCACAGGGGTGGGCCGACATTACACACGAAGACACTGCTGCTCAAAGATGCTTATCGATATGTTGGATTGAGGGGAGGGTAGGTTCTAATTGGTGCTCAACTGAAAACACAACCAAACCCACTGTTCATACATCTGCAACATATTTTAGTTTTATTATTGATTAGTTGGTTGACAGACTGCTAACACCTCACATACAGTTTAGTTTAGGACTGTTGTATACTACCATAGCCAGTTCTGTGCAAACTTTTGTAAGTGAACTAGGACTGTTGTATACTACCATAGCCAGTTCTGTGCAAACTTTTGTAAGTGAACTAATCATGATGAAACTAAAACTATGTTGACAGTCTTTTGTGAATGTTGTAGGCTGCCACTTGATCGGTCAAGTAGGGGACCTGCCGGACACAATTATTTTTAGAAAATTAGGTGCCGGTCAGACATGCTGTGGTAGAACTCCAACAGGGAGTTGTAGTGCAGATAGTGTTTGCCTAACTGATGAGCGGGTCAGACACCGATGAGGGTAGAGTTGACGATGTGAGACTAACACGTTCGAGATCACTTAAAGTCCCGCACGTGTTCCAGACCTTACAACCGGAAGACGAAAGACGGCTTTGTGCCGAACGTAGAGCCCGTGCTCTGGCAGCAGCCAAGGAGGCAGCAAACGCAGCAGCTAGAGAACAGGCAGCAGCAGCCAGAGCAGGAGCAATGGCTAACGGCGCAGCCTCTGTTGCGTCCTCGTCTAGGACTCGGTTGGGAATGCCATCTGGGCCCACGAGTACTTCCGGGTCAGTAGGTTCTAGTCAGTCCACAAGTCAAATGGCAGGCTCGCAGTTAAGCCCGTTGACCCCACGCGATAGGGAGCTCCTAGAGCTCCGACAGGTCGAAAGGATCCGCGAGCGGTTAGAGAGGGAACTGAAACAAGCTACCGACAGAGAAAAGGAGATTAAAAATAGAACAGCCAGGCTTGATACGTTAGAGGCAGACAAAGCTGCGCTAGAGGGTTTGGATGAGTCAGCCATGTCTGACCGAATGAAAGTATTGAAGAACAGTGTACTGTCGCTGCATGCGCATGTGGACAGCAGACTGGACTTCATGCAGAACTCTTTGGACCAGATCTTGGACCTTTTGCAAAGGCCAGGATTTAGGCCAGCAGCGCAGTCGCCGTTGTCGTTAACGGCGATGTCAGGCCCCTTTCCGGTGCAAGTTGGCACACAGCCAAGTGGTACGTCTGCAGCAGCCGCACAGACTGTTGCTTCTTCTTCTTCTGGTCCAGTGGCAGGTGCTACTCCACAGCCGCAACAAACTGTTCCACCACAGGGACAGCAGCAAGGTCAATGGTACCCAAAGACCCCTATGAAACCGCCTCTTGCCTTCTCCGGAGAGAAGAAGGACGAGGAACTCAACACATGGTTGAGAACGGTTCCAGTGTGGGTAAGGGCAAAGAGGACTATGCAGGAGGAGGAGGTGATTACTGCTGCATCTTACCTTGAGGGTAAGGCAGCCAAATGGCTGGATGGATTAGTAGCAAAGGCCGGGTATGGACGACGCATGGCGGATTGGGCTAAGACCCTAACGTTAGAAGAGTTTTTGGACATGGTAGAAGCTCTCTGGCACAATCCACAGCAGACACAGCTTGCCACTGATGCGATGCTCAGACTAGACCGGCGAAAGTTCAAGTCAGCCAGAGAGCTAACGACTACCGTCGAGAGCCTCATCGTCGTTCCCGGCATAGGCTACGATGACCAGGTCTTATTGACCATGTTTGTGAGATGTCTCCCAGAGAATCTCATAAATTTGCTGGCCAGCGAGGCTCGCCTCGAGTATCATTCGTTTGAGACCTTATCTAGAAAAGCCTTAGACTTAGAGGCTACTCTAGGAAGCGCTCAGCCTACTCCAGTTGACACGAGGAAGAAGAAGGGTCCACAGGAATGGAAAAAGAAGGGGAGTAAATTGATGATGGTTGAGTCCGATGGGACTCAAACTGAGATCGAAGAACTCACAGACCTGTTGGACAGTTCAGAGTACGACGGCGAGGAGATCGTTGAGGGTAGCACCCTCGCCGCAGTAGTAAAGACTAAGGCGGGTGGCCGAGGGAAGGGCCATCAAAAGAGTCAAGGGCAGGCCGCCTCCAATCAGACCAAAGTTGTTGATTGGGTCAAGGCAGGTCTTCATCAAGAAGTGTGGCGGGACCGTAGAGKGCGTGGKGCTTGCATCAACTGTGGTGAATACGGACACACCCAGTACAAGTGCAAGAATGCAAAGGTCACGTAGAAGATACCTCCTAAGGTTGGGATACCTTCTTCCCACGCGTCTAGCTCGGGAAACATGTGAGGCCGGTGGAAGTTTTAGCTGCTTCTACTCATGGTGAAGTGGGCCAGATACCCTCCCCACTTCATGAGCAG